AGCGGGGAGTTCAGAGCACTGGGATTTCCCAGGATTAAATCATTGCTGCAGGCTGTCCTTTTAAAATATACTCTTAAAGGTTTCTTTATGGCTTAGGGTTTGCAAAGGCAAGGCAGCCCTGGGAAGACCAAGACTTCTCTCTTTACCAGAGATGAAGCTTTGTTTGCAGAAACAGATTTAAAAACAAAAGAAAGAAAAAATGAAAGTATGAGCTGGGAGTACTCGTGTTTATTTATTTTTCTTCTGTCAGAGTTATTTAATGTGACTAAGAGGTAGAAAATACCTACAAAAGTATCTAGAGGGTTGCCTTAGAAATACCTTAAGACTAATCTCTGTATTGGATTTGACAAAATCTTAATCAAAAGACTTTTCCTTCCTCTCTCTCTAAGGGCGACCTTTAGTGTATTTTTAAAGGGCCAGTTACTGCCCCCAGGCCTCTTCAGGGGTTCCCATGAGGACAGAAGGGAGTAGGTATTCAGGCCCTTAATGCTGTATAGGTTTTTAAAGGGTAGTGGGTCCACTATATCATCTCAAAATAGATTATCCAACTGTGCAGACATTGACATCTGGGATTAGAGATAGGTGATGTTCAACAGTTCAAGCAAACAGTCAGGTATTTTTATATTTAAAAACAGCTTGAAATTATACTGCACTTGCCTGCTGAAATGGCATCCTTAAAGCACCTACGTTGACATAGGGTGCGACTCTACAAGCTTCAAACTGGCTGGCGGCCCCTATGAGAACACCTGTAAAAAGTACAAAAGAAAAATAATGTGAGATTAACATTTGTAGCATTTTTCAGGGTTCCAAATGGTACAAGATAGAACTAATTACTTTGAAATTGGACTATTATCTTTCTAAACTGTATCCAAAATTTAAATAAATATAACTTACTCCCAAACTTTAGGACTCCATTAACAGCCTTTGAGGATTATTAAGTCAAGAACTATTGTCATTTTTGAGGTTTCTTTTTTCTGTCATTGTAATAGTAATATTCACTACTTCTCTCTTTGCTCAGACTTTCAAATGTTCCTTGTATAAGAAGCATACCTTTATGGAGTTGATTTTCTTGTTTTCTACATTTAGCTCTTCGATTCTGAAACCAAACCTATAGGTTGGAGGGAGAAAAAATAAGTAAAACCTAGATATTATGACTAAAAATTTTTTTTAATTACAAGAATGCAAAGAGAAAAGAGTAGTGGTTTAGATAAGAACTGGGAGATATAGCAAGCAATCTTTGAATTGTATAAAACAGCCTCAATTTCCAAAGTTAAACATGTAAATTAACTACAGAAATAGAAAGATAGATTTTATAGACTTTTGCAAGATACATTACTATTAGTCCTGATTTCATCTTTTCACATAACAGAGTCTCTGTGGCCTAAAACTCTACTTGGTACCTGATACCAATATGATAATGTGTTTAGATATTTGCCCAGTTAAGACCTGAGAAGGATGTGCTCACTAATAGCCTTTAATGTTAATTAGCTTCATCTTAAAGAAAAACCAAACACCAGAGCAATAATAACTCTTTTGGGGAGAAGGAGTTGTAAGGGTTGGGGAGAGGTAATTAGTGTCATAAAAGCCTCACTACAAAGAAGTTTAGAATATCTCTGTTCCTCTGTGCAGCAGAGTGAAACACAGTAGCAGAATAATTGTGCACCATTATCATGATAATCTAATTTGCTTCTTTAGAAAAAGTCACTGCTTGCAGTTAGGATAGTAGGAAAACATCTAGAAAATAACTAAAATGTAAATAAAAGTATGAAACAACAATAAAGTACACTTCTTAAGAGAAAAAAAGAAGAGCATTCAGCGAAAGGACAATGAAGTATGTATAAAGCGAGTAACTCTTAGGTACTTTGTTCTCCTGGATGTTACCTGCTTAAACTTGACAACTTTTACAGGCAGTATGACAGATTTTTAAAAATTCAAATAAAGCTTGCTTTTGTATTCCACTTTCAATAATAAAGCATATTGATTGACTCACAAATTAAAGTTTTAAAAACCCCATTAAAGTAAAAATACTGCTTCAGAGCTTTTATTGGTATGTTTTTGAAAGCAAGTGTTATAGTCAATGTAAATCTTCAAAAATTTCTCTGCTATTTAGTATAATAGAGGGTGGATTGTGTGCCAGGGTGGCGTCCTTTGTGTAATTCACATGGCCTGAGGCTTCTTGCCTTTTTTTCCTCTAGAAGAGTTGGAATTAAGATACTAATAATCATAACTGTAATAATTATCATCATGTTTTTAAGGGGTTGCTAAGCCTGTGGAGATCTCAGTGCACAGAGCAAAGCAGGAGAGGCTTAAAAAGGAAGGCTCTGCTGCTGATGCTGTGATGACCAAGGCAGCCTATTATTACTTTTCCTCTTAAACGTGACTGCTCTGGGTTTTTTTTTTTTTTTTTTTTTCCTGATCCTATTACAAGATGCGGGAAGCCCCTTAAGAATTGTGCATAGTTCGCTACAGATGGTGGTCTCTGTGCCCAGAGACCGAGGGAGTATCTGTTACAGCGATACTTTGTAACAGCTGCAGATGTGCGGGCCTAAAACTGCTCCATGTGTTCAAACAAATAATGACTATCATTTTATTCTATTTTATTATTTGAGCGGAAATATAATCTGAAATATTTACATTTGTTCCCCGTAAAGCCAGAAGGATATGTGTATGTGAAAGTACACAATTTGCTCCTTTAAATGACCCCAAAGCCTATTTTTGCTACTACATTTGCCTCCACGACCAATAAAGAAAATCTGTTTCAATCCTAACTTCATTGGGTATGGCACGTGCTGGGGGTGGGGGGGCAGGTTTTGGAAATATAAATACTAAGATATGTGGTTTGTTTTAAAATCTAATTTCTTTAGGGTCAGTTTCGTTGCCTTGGTTAAACAAATGAACAAAGAGTGGCCAAAATGCGTTTATTTCTCCGCTATTTCACACACAGTTTGAGATCCACAGCTAACAGCAGACTGTAAATTTCTGCACTTAACAGTTACTAATTTTCTTTATAGTCTGAACATCTATAAACCTAATTGGGATATCCGCTTGACAAACCTAGACCCTGTAGAGCAGACCTTCAAGGAAATCAAACTCCAGAGAGCAAAATACTCCTTGGAACTTTCAAGGCATCCAGAGATAAAACGTTTTCTGTGGGATTTTTTTTAAGCCTTATAAAAGTAGGCCCATTAGGATTAAACCACATTAAAGCCAGCGCGAGGCGAGGGGGGTGTGGTTTATAGAAACTCTGGGAGAAAGCCCAGCACAGCTTTCTTCTTCTGGGAACATATGTTAGGATGGAAAAAAAAAGGGAGAGGAGTGCTATAGGACTAAGATCTACTTTGGAAAATAAGACCTCTAGTAAAGATATCTCTTTCCTTCTCATCTTACACCAGACACTAGAACCGCCACCCCCCGAGTGTGTTCCCCAAGCCTCTTTCCAACCCCAGGCGCTCTCTGCTCCCTGGGCCCTCGACCTCCTGGCAGCTGGGTACCTGCACTCGGGCCTCCGACAGGCCCAGTCGCTGGCTCAGTTCCTCTCGCATGAAGGCGTCGGGATAGTGGGTCTCGTCAAAAAGCCTCTCCAGCTCATTGAGTTGTTCCAGGGTGAAATTGGTCCGACTTCGCCTCTGCTTGATTTTGGTCTGGCCTTCGTCCTCCATCCCTTTCGCATCCTCTTTGCGATCTTTCAGCTCCGGGGACACTGGAGGGGGCACCCCAGGGGGGCCACACGTGCATCCATGCACACACACACGAACACACACACACACACACACACACGGACAAAAACAGCACAGCAAATCCCGTTACCAGATTTGTCACAAAAAAGGATAGAGAATCGTTCCCCCTCGTGGAATCCTGATCCGGCTTCTCACCCCACTCGGAGGAAGAATATCCCGGAGAAGCGCAAAGGTCAAGTCTGAGCAGCCGCCTGGGGCAAGGTGGGCAGTCAACCACCCACCTCCTCCGCAAACGTACCTCGACTCACTGTCCACCCCACAGTTCCCGGCCTTCCCCAGCAAACGCCAAATGCTTTCCACTCACTTTCGCACTCACTTTCTCCCGAGCACTCCCAGAAATCAAAGGCGCAGCGCCAGGCCTCTCACAGAGCAAGATCTGGACATAAGGGCGCGGCAAGGCCACCCACTGGCCTCTCACACCGGCCATTCCCAGAAGGCTGACTCGTTCTCAAGCCAGCTCTCACCACCTCCGGCTCTCTGCCTACCGCAAACTTGCTGGTCTAATTTAGGAACAATTGGGCCGAAAGGGTATCAGCGAGAGAAACAGACTCCGGTGTTGTGCTGCACAGGGAGCCGGATCCGCAGACACCCCTCGCTGCCCCTGGGCTCGGGCCAAACCCTGCATAAGGTACCCTGGGCAGCCAGGTAATCTCCGTT